TGCACTGTGAGTGTTGGCTCTTTGAAGTCTACCTCATCTGAGAGTTTGTGTGTTTGATCAGTCTCTCCACTGTCCTTTAGTCCTTGAGAAACCTCTCCTAATTCTGTGTTTTGAATGGTTGTTTGCGAGGTACAAAGTGGCAAAGATGGGGTTTCTGTGGTGCCTGCTATTCGAGACACCAAGCAGAATATGGTGAGCCCACCTGTCTTTTTGTTTAATCTGAACTTCCTACCTTCAATGACTTTTGAGGATGCTTCCTCTTTTATATTTTTATTCTGAACTGCATGTAACACATGTGGTTGTTGCAGAGATAAGGTACCCTCAGGCTGTATGTGTGTTTTCTGGATACTAATAGGACTGCTTGCCTGTAAAGCATCTGATTCCTGTCTTAGTCCTTCAAGCTCTGGGAAGGTATATGGATTCCCATCTGGTTTTGTAAAATCCTCTTTCTCTGCTTTTCTGTGATCCTGCAGATCTGCAGCAATATCCTGCTTTCTGAGTGTGGGCTGTGACCAGTAGGTTTGTCTCCTACCTTTCTGCTCCCAGCTGGTGTCATAGTGGTGCAACACAGGTGAAGTTTTATGTGGGCTGTTGTAGGGAGGGGGAGCCATATAGCCAGGAGGTTGGCTGAACATCCTCCTTTGGTAGCCGGTCTTTTCCTTCATGTCCAACATGTGGCTTGTGTCAGTGGCAGGAGTTTGTGGTGGATAATAGGTCGGAGCTTGCTGTCTGCCCCCTCGATCCCACAGTCCTGATTCTCTGATGTTTGCCGATTGTAAGGCTTGTTGCAGCGCTGCCACTCGAGGATCTGTCCCACTCCTGCTGTCCCTCTCTGGAGCCCTGCTGCTCTCCAACAGCCCCTGAGAGGCACCCCTCAACTCTGCCTCTATACGTCTCCTCCTTGGAAGTGAATGGCTGTATCGAGCTGCCCAAGCCTCCAGTTCTCGATAGCTGCTGTCGCTCCTTTTTGTAGAAACATCCCTGTTGTAGCGGACAGGACTGCAGGGCTCCCACCTCCTCTGCCATCCCTCCCTCAGAAATCCTCTCTCATATTCCCTCGCTGCTCGTTGAGCTGCTGTCCACTCTCTGTCTCTGGCTTCATGCGACTGATATTCTCCCAGGTCTTGTTGCTGCTGAGGGTGACGGTCAAGAATAAAAGGGAAGTGAGAAGAAGTATGGGTGTTCATCTCCTGGTCCGTCCAGTTAGTGTACTCCTGTGGAGCCCCTCCTGTTCTTGATCCTGGTACTGTCCAGTAACTGGACTCCCTGCTTTGATCCTGCTGCTCACCATAGTACAATGGATAATGAGTTGCCTGATGTCTGTCATGGTAGCTGTGGGTAAAATGATGGATAAGGGTGGGATTAAATTCAAATTATTTCAACAAAGCCATCTTCCACAATTAATATGCTGTGTTTTAGAAAATGGAATTTGTAAGAACATTTTGAAATTGAAAATAATATGTTGCTAAAAGTTGTACAGTTTCTCTTGATTATAAAAACAATGTAGCAGTTTGTATCAAGACTATTTTTCAGTAACTAGCCAGTGTTGAAGTTAGTTAAGGGTCTGCAGCAAATAAAGTAACTGACTCTTTGGTGACAATTTACTTTTTGTCACTCGTTGGGCACACTACAGTACAAACCATAGAACCATGTTACCAAACTTGATCATCCAAAGATTATACTGACTGAAATAGTAAGCATAGCACTGAACTTACTTATGTGTACAGTTTCTCCCAGGAACAGTACCAAATTTGGAGTATAGAGATGATTGCCCCTGATTCTCAGGCCAGAACTCCATCTTTTGGTCTCATACACAAATCTTAAACATGGAAAAAAGGGTAATTTATTTAACCGTTATGTATGTTCTTAAGATGCATAAAATGAAAAGATTTTTAAAGTATATTAATATTCTTACATTAAATATGACTGGATATGAAACAACTAATTTAAAAAAAGCCTCACCTGCAATTTAGATATTGTTACATAAATGGAGAGATAGCTACACACATTCAGCACATACCTTTAATTGCTGTTTTCAGATTATTGTCCTTGTTGCTCATGAGGTGATGAGGTCTAATGAAGTACAAACAGGACAACTTGTTTTAAAAGGACGGTGGTTGTCTGTTCCCCTCCCACTCTACACACACACACACACACTCCCCTGTCACTGTAAGCCCATCCTCCTCTCATCCAGCCAACAGTTTAAATACCACTCAGGAATTTTTTAATCAGGTTTTCAGAAATACTATCTTTAGCTGCATCATTGCTCTTTAAAGTCATACAAAATTAAAGTGAACACAAATTTAATTATTGTTAATTAATTAATTTAAATTTTTTGCTTACAACACGTTTTAAACTATAATGGAATTTAGTTCAGATATAAACAGTGAAATATAAAAACGCTGATAAAAACAACTCTCATCATCAGCTTTAGGTGAAAAATGCTTTTTAACGTCATTGTATTTGGATTAATGGTAGTTTTGTAGTCAAGTTGATTATTAGAACATTTCACACCTACATCATAAATACGTCACTGCTCACACAGCTGCACATGGTCTACTACTTTTCATAAAAAGCAATATTTGAGAAATTTTTTTGTTCGAACTTTGATTGTTTTTAAATCGTACGTTTTCCTCTCGGTCAAAATGGCACTCTGGTCAACATCACCACTTCCTGGCAACACTTTTCGTAACTTTGCCCAAATGATCATGAATAACAACAAAACCAGTCATCTGCACTTTGCATGACACTCGTGTGGGAGTTGGTCGGCGTGATGGAGAGCAGACTCTGCATGGAGATAGGGATCTGTTGTTTTGTCGGCTGAATTGTAGCAGAGGGAGAGACAGGCAGCGGACGGGTTGTCTCCCTTTCTTTGAAACTCTCCAGCGTAACAAACAGGCTTTCCTTCTCTGAACAGAAAGTCTGTACATCAGCAGAGAGCAGGAGAGAGGGGATGAAGTACATACAGACAGCAGGCTGCAGGGAGGGCAATCTGTTGATGTTGACAGAATAGTTGGGGATCGGATGAACTTTGTTTTGGGTTTTATATATCTCAGTAAAAACAACATCGTATTACATATCAACAGCACATTCACCAAAAAGGAAAATGTTTCCACATCTAGTTAAGTCCTGCTTTATTATAACTAGAAAGCATTTCAGGTGAGAGCAAGATTCATGTTAGAAAGTTAGTTAGTTACAAAACTAGTATATAAAATACACTAAAAACCCATTACAATTTTGTTAATGGTTAAAGTACAGTACATTCTGAATGTATATTACACAAGTATATTGGACCCAGCTTTGTGATTCATGTCTGTCCAGACTGAGCTGGTGACAGAGGTGTCAATAGTAATCACAGTATGACACAAACTACATTAAAGTGTCCTGATTATTGAGAAAATTAACCAGTGTTTGCATCTTTCTGAGCTTTGATGCTGTTTGTGGATAAAAGTTTCCACCCAGATATGATGATCATGAAGATAGTTAGTGATGCACTCAATCACTTTGTGTGGAGGGATGGTTGGTATTAATTTTATTTAAAGCCCCTAAAAAATGTGAAGTCAACTTTTCCAACAAAGCCTCACTGACAACCCAGTCAGAAGACCACAAGCCCAAACACAAATACAGGTATGTCTCATAAAATAGACAAAACAGTTTGTTTGAAAGTTTGTATTCATGTGGAATCCAATCACTCATAGTAATCCGCTGATTGAGAATGGAAATTGGTTTCCAAGGCCTTTAAAGTTGTGATCATGTGATTTGTTTTCAATCTAATCTGAAGCTGAATGCTCAGCTCTTTCTAGAATACATGCTCAACACTGTTGCAGAAACCAATGGGATGTCTGAGCATGTGTGAGGAGGCCGCTGTGCCATCTGTACTGATGCAATGAACACGGTGAGACAGTTCAGTGTTTTAACCGAGAGAACAATTACAAATGTGGAAAAGAAGTTTGAGATTTTACTTTAAGATGTAGGGCAGAAGTTGCCTGGGAGGAGCAGTTGACCCTTTTTCAACAAATGCACTGATGACATTACAAGCTCTTCTCTGAAACTACATTGTGCATGACAGTAACAACATGGAGTCAAAACTAAGAAAGAGACATGATAAAAGATCTCCCGTCAGGTGATTATGAGCTGACCGGCACCGCAGCCTGAAGCTGTAATAGCAGCTGATCTGTCTCTATAAAAACAACTCTGACATTTAGATTTCATTAACAAAACTTTATATAAAATCACAATGAGAACTTTTGACTGGTTGCAAACTGTATTTAAAGCTCACAACAAGTGTTTGGATGTCAGTGAATACACGAAGTGGCAGTATCTACAACCATGGTAGAATGGTTTGTCCGTTCTGGGCTACTGTAGAAACGTGGTGGCTCAAAATGGCAGCCACTTTTAAAGAGGACCTCCTCCCTTTGTAGATTCTGGCTCATTCTAAGGTAACAAAAACACAACTATTCTTA